TGGTGGCTTTTGGAAGAGGAGGAAGAGGTGGTGTCGGGGAGGGGGGATCTCTTTCCCCGTTTGGAGATGATTGTGCTATTCCTCTTTGCCTTGCTCTGGATGGTGGAGGGGGCCCTTTGCCAACTCCATTACACGGTGCAGGAAGAGCAGGAGCATGGCACGTTCGTGGGGAATATCGCCGAGGACCTGGGCTTGGACATTACAAAACTTTCGGCTCGGCGCTTCCAGACGGCGCCCAACTCCCGCAGCCCTTACCTGGAGCTCAACCTGGAAACCGGGGTGCTCTACGTGAACGAGAAGATCGACCGGGAGCAGATCTGTAAGCAGAGCCCCTCCTGCCTGCTGCACCTGGAGGTCTTCCTGGAGAACCCCCTCGAGCTGTTCCGGGTGGAGATCGAGGTGCTGGACATCAACGACAACCCGCCCTCCTTCCCGGAGCCCGACCTCACCGTGGAGATCTCGGAGAGCGCCACACCGGGCACCCGCTTCCCCCTGGAGAGCGCCTTCGACCCCGACGTGGGCACCAACTCCCTGCGCACCTACGAGATCACTCCCAACAGCTACTTCTCCCTCGACGTGCAGACGCAAGGGGACGGCAACCGCTTCGCCGAGCTGGTGCTGGACCAGCCGCTGGACCGGGAGCAGCAGGCGGTGCACCGCTACGTGCTGACGGCGGTGGACGGCGGGCAGCCCCAGCAGCGCACCGGCACCGCCCTGCTCACCGTCAGGGTGCTGGACTCCAACGACAACGTCCCCGCCTTCGAGCAGCCCGTCTACACCGTGTCGCTGCCGGAGAACTCCCCGCCGGGCACCCTGGTGCTGCAACTCAACGCCACGGACCCCGACGAGGGCCAGAACGGCGAAGTCATCTACTCCTTCAGCAGCCACATCTCGGCCCGCGCCCGGGAGCTCTTCGGCATCGCGCCGCGCACCGGGAGGCTGGAGGTGAGCGGTGAGCTGGACTACGAGGAGAGCAGCGTGTACCAGGTGTATGTGCAAGCCAAGGACCTGGGGCCCAACGCCGTTCCGGCCCACTGCAAGGTGCTGGTGCGGGTGCTGGACGCCAACGATAACGCGCCCGAGATCAGCTTCTCCACCGTCAAGGAGGCGGTGAGCGAGGCGGCGGCGCCGGGCACCGTGGTGGCCCTTTTCAGCGTCTCGGACCGCGACTCGGAGGAGAACGGGCAGGTGCAGTGCGAGCTGCTGCAGGGCGATGCGCCCTTCCGCCTCAAGAGCTCCTTCAAAAACTACTACACCATCGTCACCGAGGGGCCGCTGGACCGCGAGCAGCCGGGCGGCGACGCCTACACCCTCACGGTGGTGGCCCGGGACCGCGGCGAGCCGCCGCTCAGCACCAGCAAGTCCATCCAGGTGCGGGTGAGCGACGTGAACGACAACGCGCCGCGCTTCAGCCAGCCCGTGTACCAGGTGTACGTGAGCGAGAACAACGTGCCCGGTGCCTACATCTACGCCGTCAGCGCCACCGACCGCGACCAGGGCGCCAACGCCAGGCTCGCCTACTCCATCCTGGAGAGCCAGATCCAGGGCATGTCCGTCTTCACCTACGTCTCCATCAACTCCGAGAACGGCTTCCTCTACGCCCTCCGCTCCTTCGACTATGAGCAGCTCAAGGAGTTCAGCTTCCAAGTGGAGGCCCGGGACGCCGGCGAGGAGCCGCAGCCGCTGGCCGGCAACGCCACGGTCCACATCATCGTGGTGGACCAGAACGACAACGCCCCCGCCATCGTCAGCCCCCTGCCCGGCCGCAATGGCACCCCGGCGCGGGAGGCGCTGCCCCGCGGCGCCGAGCCGGGATACCTGGTGAGCCGAGTGGCGGCGGTGGACGCGGACGACGGGGAGAACGCCCGCCTCACCTACAGCATCGCGCGGGGCAACGAGGCCGGGCTGTTCCGCATGGACTGGCGCTCCGGGGAGCTGCGGACGGCCCGCAGGGTTCCGGCCAAGCGCGACCCGCAGCGCCCCTACGAGCTGGTCATCGAGGTGCGCGACCACGGGCAGCCGCCGCTCTCCTCCACCGCCGCCGTCCAGATTGTGCTGGTGGACGGGGCGGGCGAGCGGCCCGGCGGCGGCGGCCCGGGCGCGGGGACGGGAGCGGGGGGCGGTGGCGGCGGCGGCTCTGGAGAGCATCGCCCCAGCCGCTCCGGGGGGGATACCTCGCTTGACCTCACCCTTATCCTCATCATCGCCCTGGGCTCCGTCTCCTTTATCTTCCTGCTGGCCATGATCGTCCTGGCCGTGCGCTGCCAGAAGGAGAAGAAGCTCAATATCTACACTTGCCTGGCCAGCGACTGCTGCTTGGGCTGCTGCTGCTGCTGCCCTTGCTGCAGCCGGCAGGCGCGGGCCCGCAAGAAGAAGCTCAGCAAGTCGGACATCATGCTGGTTCAGAGCTCCAACGTGCCCAGTAACCCGGCGCAGGTGCCGGTGGAGGAGTCGGGCAGCTTCGGCTCCCATCACCACAACCAGAACTACTGCTACCAGGTCTGCCTCACCCCTGAGTCCGCCAAGACCGACTTGATGTTCCTCAAGCCCTGCAGCCCCTCTCGCAGCACCGACGCCGAGCACAACCCCTGCGGGGCCATCGTCACAGGCTACGCCGACCAGCAGCCCGACATCATCTCCAACGGCAGCATCTTGTCTAGCGAGGTAAGGACGGCACCCCTCGCCACCCCACACACCTCCCGCCTCCCGCTAGGCTTCATCCTCTAGCCATCCCCAGACTTCCTTCTCCAAGCCCCGGGCCGCTTTCCTGAAGCTCCCGCTTCTCCTCCCCTGGCGGGAAAGACGTTTTGCATTCCCCATCCTCTTCCTTTCCGCTTTAATCCATCCATCTGTTTTCACTCCCCTCTTTGCCCTCTCCTATTCGGGAAGCTTTAGCCCTTCGGTCTCAGAGGGGAGTGCGTGGTAGACCCCCCCCCCCCGTCCCGCCGGCTCCCTCCCACCTGGGCTCAGCAGTTGTTGCAGCCAAGCATGTCCCCCCTGCTGCCTTCCCCCCCCGCCCCGCCCCCATCCCGCTGCCTCTAAAGGAATCTGGCCCCGGCCGGGGCACGGAGATCCCCCTGAGCCAGCGTTAGCTGCGAACAGATCGCCTGTGGGTTGAGGGGGGTGGGGATTACGGCTCTTCGCAGAATCTCTGCAGCTGTCAGGACTGGAGTGAGGTGGGGTGTAATCACAGCATGTTCTGAAGAAACGCGTTAAACCCATGTCTTTTTTCCTTCCTGAAATCTTCGCATGTGCAAGTAAGGCTTTGGGGGAAACCCCCTCTGGGACTGTGACAATCTCTACAGTTAGCAGGAGCTTTAATTAATTTGTGAATTAGGGTTTATTAATTGACTTTTCTTTACTCTATCTACACAGCTCTTTATGACACCAAAGCTGAACTTGCAAAGGAAAGCAGCAAGAGTTTCAATAAAATTATATGCTGAGACCTAATGTCCCTTCCTGTCAAACACGTTTCTTATATTGTGTTACCTGGTGTGTAGAGAATTTCTATCAAAGTATATATTCCCCCATGTTACTCTCCCATTAATCATTTTGTACTGGGTTAGCTTATACTTTTTCTCAGTACCTCTCTGCTTATGCACTAGTAAAAACATTACATTCTCTCTTAACTGAAACTTGAATGCTGTCCAGTCTGGAAAAGGTGGTTTGAATGTATGTTCTAAAGAGTTATGTTTTGCAGTAAAATTTCTAATATTGGATTGTAAGATTGACCTTGCCTAGAAATGTCTATAAAATTCTGTCTTCTGCTGTCTTTTTAATGACTTGAGGGTATCTCAATGTATTTTTTTCCTTTGGGTACAATAACAGTACCATCTCTCCCTATTTTTATACACTGAAATTAAAAACAGGCTGAGAACTAGATTACAATAAGGTTTTTTTCTCAGACTAAGTAGTCCACAAGTCTAGAAATAGTTATGTTAATTTTTTGTGGGAGTCCTTGTGATGCTCAACAGTGTACACTGTGAGAAAGCGTCAGAATGTCATCCCAAAAAACCCCGGAAAAATCCCTCGTGCCTTCCCATCTGTATGACTAAGAGCTGGGTTTTTTCCCCTTGCATCCTAGAAACAGATCATGTAGGCCTACTTGCAGCTAAGCATTACCATTCATAGTGAATATGCTGAGCAGCTCCCTTGGTTGGTTACAGAACTATCAAGAGCTAAAAATCTTTCCCAATATTTTCTTTTTTCCTAGACGAAACATCAGCGTGCTGAGCTCAGTTATCTAGTTGACAGACCCCGACGAGTAAACAGGTAGGAACTCCTTAGCCTTGGTTTCCTCACACATGCTTTAGCAAGTCTGAATGGGGTGCAGAAATGTGTTTACTGCAGATGTAACAGAGCAGTAAAGCAGTGGGAAGTCCAGTGTCTGTAGATGTATTAAATAAGACACAGTCAGCTAAATGAGTTTGAATTACAGCTTTTCTGAACTGGATTCAAAACCGACTGAAAAGAGAACAAAATCTCAGTTTGTATTAGTCTAAAACGTGCTTCAAATACTCATGAACATGCTTCTGTAGGGTCTTCCAGAAGATATTGTCTCACTGAGTTGAAATTCAGCTATCCAGCTTAAGTAAATGCTACCAAATTACTTACACCGACTACATGAAACCCAGGTGGAGTAATAAGCCTTGCTGTCCCGTCCAACCAGACCCCCAAGATCTGAAAATTCCTAGTTTGGTTTATGGTGGGCAGAGCACCTCTGCAGAAGCCGTGCAGCAGGCAGGGTGGGGGGATGCAGCACCGTGTTTGGCCATGTGATGGCGGAAGAATGTTTTATGAGTTCCTCTTTCATGTTTATTCTAATGTAAAGATGTTTCTGTGTCTAGTTCTGCATTCCAGGAAGCAGACATAGTAAGCTCTAAGGACAGTGGTCATGGAGACAGTGAGCAAGGAGACAGTGATCATGATGCCACTAATCGAGGTCAATCCTCTGGTAAGTCTGATAAGAGAATGGAAATAGTAGATCTTTAAGTAGAGAGACAAGAAGGAACAGTTACTTATAGGAATATAATACCAGAGAGACATAAATAAGATGAGCATATTCTGTGAGAGGCTGGGTTTAAGTCAGCTTGCTGCTGCGGTTACCTGGACAAGGAGGCAGTTTTGGACCTCTTTTGTTCATGGGGCAGAGTTTATTCTATTCATTTGATTGTGGGTGGGGGTTGGTATGTTATACTGCATCATTCACTGTAGCAAAACTTCCTGCACATTAAAACACAGTTGTTGGTACATTTCATAGTACATTTTTTTCGCTGGCAGATTCGCAGAATTTCAAAGCGTTAAGCAATTTTGTTTAGTAGGCGCTTCAGCTGGCATGGCAGTGGGAAGTGAAGGGGGAGTTCCCAAGGGAAAGAAAGAACCCAGTGATTGAATGACAGCCAGACAGTGAGGGTTTTTTGCTGGGGATCAGTGGAGACACATTGGGTGCTCTGAATATGTAATACCTTAGCATTTTTGGAGGATTGTTTTTTAATTCAAATTGAGGCACCATATAGTGCAAGTGATCTCCATGTTAATAAGGCTAAGGTATTACTAAATACATTTCTTCCCTCCTGACAGTAAAGAAAGGCTTTAAAAGACTTATGATGTGAATCATCTAGAAAATATATACGTTGCAGTGTTATTCCCATGTGCAGGGCTTGCTGTCTTTGCTCTCATACTGTCAGTTTGCTTCTGAAAGGAACATTTGTTCAGAGCCTGTGCATTAGAATTCACACTCACCCTCACACTGCATTTTAGCCACAAATGCTGTGCTTTCTTCCCTACCACAACCTCCACAGGTCTGGTACATCTTAGTTCAATACAGTGATTTCTTTCCCCTTGTTTCCTCTGTGCTCTGTCATGTATAAGGATTTGCTGCAAATGTGTCATACAAAATACTGCCAGTTGTCCTTTTTTTTGTTTTTACTGACCCCCCATCTTATAAGATACCAGGGCAGGGGACCCAGTATTGTCACAGCAGTGCTGCCTCACCAGGCTCTGTTAACATCCCCTGTTTCCTTGCTGCTGTAGTCACTGTGCCCTTAACGATGGGAAACCCAGGCACCAGGGGAAGAGGAGGCTGCCACAGGGCCCCTTTCTATTGCTGCAAGTCATTAATATGCAGACCTAATGAGACTTGAGAAGAGCCAAGAGTCTCCGGAGCTCCCTGCTTCTTGCAGGGCTTCATGCTAAGTGAACAGAGTGTCTATTTTATGTCTGGGAACCTGACAACAAACCAGGTCTTGCCAGAAGTTTACATCTGAACACAGAGCCTCTTTCATTTTTGGCCTATATATGGCGTATGATTTATTGTTGTTTTAAAAAGCCATGTATTTAGCCTCCCCCCACTCTTTCTTTGCACTGTTTCTGATGCAGCAATCAGTGCTATCGAGTTATAAAAAGCTCCCTCTCCTCCTGCCCTCCCTGCATTCCTGGTTTTTTTTCTCTTTTACGCATTTTACTGCAGCAGTCATCTCCATGAACATTTCAATCAGCTTAGTCCCTCAACATAATGAACCATAATAACCAAACAGGAGAGAAAAGAATAAACATCTGCGGAAGGGGCTGGATTTGACTGATGGTGGGAATATAATCATAGAGTTGCACATCAACTGAAAGCTATTTTCTTTTAGATGCATTCAGTGCTGTTATTGTTGTGCTTCTGCTCTTTATTCTTTCTCTCCATTTTAAAAGTAGTCTGTCTCAGAGATGAACACTTGTCAAACTTGGCATTGGTCCTTAGGAGGGTAAATTCTTCTTCATTTCTATTTTATCAAATGGGGGAAAATCTATTCTATACTTTTAAATAATGTTAAATAATTTAAGAATCCGATGTGATTTATGAACTTCTATGTCTCCAATGGTGATGACAAGGGAAATAATGAAAGCTGCAGATTAGGTTTGGTCTACTCACAATCAACAGTTTGAACTGAAACCTCAGAATACACAGAACTTCCAATTTCATATGTTGGTGCTGTGATTTGAGAATAATTTGCATGCACCATTTTTTTAATGCTACTTCCAAATAAATATTAAAATATAAATCTCTTTAGAAACTGCTTTAATCTTCTACATACATATTTTTTACTTCTCCTGTAAGTTTTGGGCTAATTTGTGATGTCTTCTTGCAAAGAATGTGCCCCTTGACCTCAGAGATGACAATATTTTGATATAAAAAGTTTACTCTTGCTATTAACTTTTGGTGATGAATTTTATGGGGAAAAAAAGGGCATAAATCTTGTTTGACCTTAAATGGGTAGAGGAAATACCAGAGCGAATGCCTTCTCAGTTGTTCGGTCGTTCTGATGCTCTGTAATCAATTCTGTCTAAATTGCTGAAGGAAATCACACTGATTGATAACATGGCAGGAGTTTGGGCTGTTTTTTTCAAGATGTTACCAGATATTGTGCAGCATTATATTTATTGTCAAAAACATCTAAAAATATTTAGTACGCAATTCACATTGAGAAACAAAACTCATACCCTACAAGCTTCAGTCAACAGCATGTTCTGCTGGGAGAACATCTTTTTACAGTTCTGTACGTGACTTCTATCAGCCATGAACAGTCCTGTGGCACAAAAGTAGCTATTCTGTAGTTGTCCATTGCTGTCCAAGCTGGCTGTCAAAAGTTGTGGTCAGTTATTAATTGCGAAGGAAAAGATGCAGGATGAAAACCTATCACCCCGTCATAGTTTTATCTTGCACAATTATGTAGTGAAAATGATGAACTAAGCTGTTCTACGTATCATAAAATATTTTATTGTATTTTGAAATAAGATTCTAGTTCACCTTTTCACAAAATATGTTTTCTTAATACTGGTTTAATCATGTCTTTAAGCACACTAGAAAGTATGAAAGGGATTCATATTGTTCTCATTAAAGTATTCCATGAATGCTTCGTAATTATCTTCTTACCTACCTTAACATTGACAAAGTACTAAAGTACTACCATCTACTTTTGGCAGGAAATGGCAAGTAGTGGGAGACTCAAGAGCCTAATTTTTGTGGATTGAGTAGTTATTTCAAAGACTGGGATAAGAATCTGAGCTTTTTGGAAAGTAACTTTCCAAAGGTGAAGAAGTGCAGGAAGTTTGTGGCAAACAAAGGGGGGGAGTGTCTCAAAAGCTCCAAGTGCATGTTCTAATGATTTGTGCTCTTCTTTGAAAACTGCTGAGACAAAACCTGCTACTTGTTATAGAAGAAACACAACTAACACAACGCTACTACCTATTATTAACACACTGTATTTCAGTCGTGTTCTGTAGGAGTAATTTCTAAGCATGAGGTTAGTTTATTTCCAATGGTTGATTGAATTCTTGGCCTCCCTCGTGAAATTGCTGGCTTGGGTGCCAATTAATACTCTGCATGTGTGTACGCTTAAATTGTATGATTAGACACCTGTCCTGTAAGATCTGGACTCGTGCCATCATGTTATTTCATATGGTTACTCACTAGCTACTCAGCTTTCTCAAGCAGAGCTCTTCACAATATTATCCTTTTTTTCACTGAATTGGCACGATGTCTCAGATGCACTTCAGGAAGGAATGTCCAAGATGTGAAGCCAAGTAGATGTACTGAACGTGTATGTACTATAAAATGCATCAGCTTTTTTTGATCATCTCCTCTGTGCAGTGGTTTTCCTAAAATCAGGAAATTGGTAGGGATCTGATACAAAGACGCAAGGTGAAACATTGCCTCACACCTTTTCAGTACAGATTAGGTAAACACCAAGAGGGTTTGTATACATTATTGCAGAAGAGCTATGACATTTCAGGGTCCATAAAGAGAAGAATCTGAGAAGTGAGAGGAAGAACTTTACTGATAAAGGCAAAGAGAAAACCAATATTCCTTCTAAGTCTATGCAGAGTGACAGCTAAATCCTGATTTGAAGATCATTTGGGCAAAGAGTCTATCTCGGATAAAGTGAGAGTGAACATGAAAATGGCTTAGAAAAATGCTTTGACTCAAGCTGAGGGCTGTTTCTATTTCTTCTTTTTCTCTTCTTCCTTGGTCTGCATGCTTAATAATGTTCACATCTCAGTGGTCCAGATAGGGCTTTGAAGCTGAGATTTGGAAGAGCTGAATATTGAAGATATTTGAGTCTTTATTCATGTTCTCATGCAGATTAAGTCAGTTTTATTCAAGGCGGTGCACCAATTATTTAGCAAGAAGGAATGATAATAACTGTTTCATGAAGTCCAGTTCTTCAGTAGATAAAGTCTTCCTCTAAGGAGGTTAATATCATTATCCGTATTTACCAACACAAAACATGAATCATAGGGAAACGAGCAACTTTCTCAGTGATAATCTAACCAGTTGTCCTGGTAATGGAGCTCTGGAAAGGAGGCCTGGTTCCCTGCATCACACCTATCTTGCATATAACTAGCACAGAAGAAATGGGAAATGCCATTTAATTCCAAGTAAAAGGCAAAGTTCCGAAAAAATTACATACGTTGGGGGAAAAAAAATCCCTTTCAATAATGGTATTGAAAAATACTTTGTTAACATTCAATTTGTATTTTTCTGTTTTATTACATCATTTACTCAGTAATACATAAGAACATGTTCACTTGTTGCTCTAAAGGCTTGGTGTAGGGTTCTTCTCCTTTAATTAAACTAAGAAAGGAAACATTATTTGTAATTGTGTTTAGGCCTAATTTTTGCTTTGACCAAAATGGTCTTTCAAACCAATTAAAACTCATGCACATAGAAATTTTGGTTTCCTCCTTTTGAAATATGAAAAGGAAGCAATTTGGGAATTTGCTTCCAAAATGCAGTGCTACCAAGTATGTGATTCAAAGCACCTGAGTTCAGGTAATTCAGATGCAGACATCAAACAATACATAACTCCTTCCCTAGTTTTTGGCAGCTTTTGAGTGAGGGCCTTGGGTTTGTTTTCCTTCAGAATCTGCAAAGTTAAGGTTGTGTGAAAGCCCATATTGGCCATTGGCCCATCTGGTAATAAGACTTGAACAAATAGGAATGGACTAGTGGCCTTTGCCATCAGTTTCTATATGTATGCTGTATTTGGAATAGTGCAATGCTTATCATTTTCAGAACTTCAGTGCTCCGTTCTATATGTTTGTATCCACAAAGGGCATTTGAAATTCATATTTCAGAATCACCTTTAAAATCTCAGTTTATCTGCAAGGTCCAACTTAGGATCACTAAGTGAAAAATAGAAAGCATTTTTCTTTATTGTGGATTTTCAATTATGATGGATAGTTTAGTTCAGAAGGATCACATATATTTAACTACCTTTATGAGGGAGTTGAGATGAAAGTGTTATATTGCTGAACATTTCTTTTTGTTATAAATCAAGAACATGATTCTTGGTGTATGAAGGAGTTCTGTGCTGAGTGTCTTACTTCATTTACCATGATATGTCCTTCCTTCTTGGAAAATAGCAAACTGCCTTTACCTGCCCCCAGTCCTGTGTTAAATGTTTTTCAATTAGAACCAGAGAATTCTATACTATGACCCACAGGAAAAGGGTAGAGGAGGAATAGGCAGCATTCATACCACAGGCAGTGTAAATAGACATGGGTGCCCAGGGATTTTGAAACTAGGCTTCTAATTTGAATTTCTTTTCTGTCAAAATACTAAACCCAAGGGCTTGGTTCTCTACCCGTTCAACTACACTCTTAGGGAATGTTGTGACTGATTGAAGCTGGAGCAATTCCTAACCCTTACCTTTCTGTACATTTTGTTCCCATCCTAAACAAGCATTTACATTCTAGCTGTGTGTTCCAGGAGTGTATATTAAAATTCAGATGTATATAATCTCTTTTCCTTTTTACAAGTTCTCATCTTCAAGGGGGAGAAAGTTTGCTGTACAGGCTTACATTTTATATCTCCTACATTCATTACTCTGTTTATTTAAAATCCTGATTTATGGTGGCTATAACATCTCTTTTGTAATAAGCTGTTATATAATACTGTTCAGTACACTGCAGTAGACAAGCAGTATTCAAAAGGGAACAAAAAAAATAATATTTGGGTAGAGACATTTTGCAGTATAGCAGTTGATGTGAGAAGAAAATAGTAAAATGGAGGGTAATTTTCCAGGGGAAATAAAGATCCATAAAGGGAAGAAAAGAGTCTATATTTGAATATATATATTTAAAACAATATTATTTTAATCTCTCCCTCCCCATTGAATAAAGTATATAATTTAATATTTATCCTTAAGTTTTTCTTTCTCCTGCTGTCTTTCAGAATAGATTGAATGAATATGGTCACTGATACACTGTTAGCAAAATGTAACTAATCATTTCCTATTAAATGTAGGGCTATTTGTTGTTTACATGTAACTTTGCTAGGAAGTCTGTAAATTGAAATAACCATTTTGTGTTTATTGTCCCTTAAATCTTTGGAATGGCAAAAAGTTAGATTCATAAAATGTGTCTTTTCTTGCATAAGAAATATTTTTCTTCAGACATTTCAATATACAAGATACACACACACGGTTTTATAGACATTGTTAGATACTAATTTCTTTCTGGGAAGCTGCATCTAAATATTTCTTTTCAGTCTTTGATAGCTAATACCACTACAGAATTTATATTTAGACTATTTTTCTCCTTGCCTGATGATCTTCATCTGATTCCTTAATCATATCTGCAGTTCACATTTGCATTCTTCAACAGTTCACTGATCAGTAATTTGTTTTCAGACTTCTGCATGCCAATTATCAATGCAAGGTTCTAATCTAAACTGGACTTGGCATTGTATGTTGCTTAATTTCAAATTAAAAAGTCATTATAAAATGAGATTAATCTGAGATAAAAAGGGTTTTTTTCATTTCCTCATGGTTTTTTTCTGTTTAAATGATTGCATCTAGTACTCAAGCACTTGTTGGTTGCTCATAATGATTCTTCCTTGCTGAAAAGATTGTTTTTTGTAGTGTGAGGTATTACATAAATATTACTAATTTAAGTCAAATTATAGCTCAAAACAGTGGTAGAATTCTTAATACTAATCCTCACATTGGAGATCAAGCTAATCCAGTTCTTTACAATGTTGGCTGGTGAATGAGCTACATTACATGAATCTTATTACAACTGTTCAAAGTTTTTTCCTATTTCTGTTACAAGTAGTGTCATTTTTTGTAATTCTAATGCAATGCTTGTAAATGCAATGTTTATAACAGATTTAGTTCAGTTTTGACATGCATCTAAGACACTCAGTTCCCTTATAAATACAAGAAAAGGATGTTTCTTTACTGTTCTGCTTTCCTGTAAGATATTGAACATTGTGTTGGTGTAACCCAAACATCAACTAAGCACCCCAGAGCTTCTTGCTCAGTCCCCTCACCCCAGTGGGGTGGGAAGAAGAATCGGAAAAAAATAAACCTTGCAGGCTGAGATAAGAATAGTATAATAATTTAAATAAAGTGAATGTAATAATAACAGTAACAAAAAAGAGAGAGAGAGAGGAATGAAACCGAAGACAGAGAAGTGATATGATGCACACTACAGTCGCTCACCGCCTGCTGACTGATGCTCAGCCCTGAGCAGCGATCGGCGCCTCACTGACAGCTCCCCGGTTTATGTACTGAGTGTGATGCTCTGTGGTATGGAACAGCTCTTTGACCAGCTTGGGTCAGTTGTCCTGGCATCCTCCCTCACAGCTTCTTGTGTGTTTCCTCACTGGCAGAGCATGTGCAGTGTCTCTGAGTTAGGCTAAACTCTGCTGAGCAACAACTGAAACATCAATGTGTTATCAGCATTATTCTCATATTAAACCCAAAACACAAGACTGTAACAGCTACTTGGAAGAAAATGAACTCTATCCCAGACAAAAGCAGGACAAACCAACTTGAGATTTATTTATTTTACTCTATGCCTATGATTTCATACACCAGTTCTCTCAAAACAAGTATAATCTAACAACTTAATAACTCTTAGCCAGAAATTTTTCCTTTGGAAGGCCAGTCTGAAAGGAGACAGCAGCAGCATAGCTTGTCATTTGAAATCTTAGTAGCATTAAAGGATTTGTGAGCAAACGGTTCCGTGTTGGCACAGACAAGTGTTTGTTTATAGAGGAGAAGTACTAACAATCTTTTCGATAGTTTCCACAGCCACCTCACATAGGACTGCAGATACCTTTGTACTGCTAATTGCGGTATTTTGTTATAGGATCCTGTCCCATTTCTTGGATGACTTGGTGATAGTAAGGACTGCTGCAGTAGCAATGAAAACTATCTCTGAAAGAGTGCTGTTACAATTGATTAAAGAAGCTATGCTGATCACTTGAAAGCTGGATTCTTGCTTTGTAACATCTGGTTTTAATATCAGTGGGCTCTATCTGTATGCCAGTATAGCACAGATAGTTCCTTTATAGGACTCATTAATGGTTCATTTTCATAAATGAAATCTGAGATTCCTCAATCTGGACCCTTAATTTCTTTGGTCAGAGATAGATTTGCAGAGATATTGTTAGAGAAACAATTCCTTCATGTTCTCAAACAAGTATTTTCAACCGGTGAACCACAGACATCCACCTACAAGTGGAATCGAACCTTGTATGAATGGGTTCTAAACAGCGAGATCTGCAAGGGATTTTGTAAGATAGAACCACCAATGCTGTTCTTATTGTGGTATTTTTTTTTGTATGTGACATTCTGGCATTTAGTTACACTTGTTAAAGGATGCCTTTGACTTCTGAAGACCAGACAATCAGATTTTTTTGTAGTTGACATTGAGGAGATGAAACTAGTGGATGAAGTTCTTACACCTTTTCCCTTTCCACTTCTCTTTCCTTGGCGTAATCTGTCAGCAGCTGTTCGTGATGCTGAAGCTTATATCTGTAGTTTCTTTTTCTTTCATGCTTACAGGCATGGATCTCTTCTCCAATTGCACGGAGGAATGTAAAGCACTGGGCCACTCAGATCGGTGCTGGATGCCTTCCTTTGTCCCATCTGATGGACGCCAAGCTGCAGATTACCGCAGCAATCTGCACGTACCTGGCATGGACTCCGTTCCAGACACTGAAGTGTTTGAAACACCAGAAGCCCAGCCGGGGGCAGAAAGGTCCTTCTCCACCTTTGGCAAAGAGAAGGCCCTTCACAACAGTCTGGAGAGGAAGGAGTTGGATGGACTGCTGTCTAATACACGAGCGCCTTACAAACCACCATATTTGAGTAAGTACCATTCAAAAAGCTGTATGAAAGTGTTCCCTTTGCGGGAATAAAGACTAGCTCTTTTTGCTATTCATGGTAGGAATAATGCAGGCACATTTTTAGGAGCAGCGGGGAAAAATGGCTTCTCTTGGATTCAGGCACCACTGAAGAAGGCATTGTTCAATGCTTTTTAAAAAAAGATAAAACTTTGATTGTTTTTAGTATGACACGACTTTCAACAGCAAAAGTACGAGCTGATATTAGTGGGGGAGTTGCTCAAATTTGTTTTCTAATGCCGGATTATTTTCAAAGGATAGATGGTTTAAAAATTGGCATTACCAGGCTAACGTTTTCATAAGACTAGAATTAAATTGAGATAACTTTCCTGGGAGCTTTTTTTTATGATTGAGAAGTATCTGGTGAATAAACAGTATGTGTATTATTTTGAAGTAGCTATTTACATAGTTTAAGGGCTTAGAAAGAAGAAGATACAAACTTTTGCCCTAAGTCTGATCATCTTTCTGCCTACATAGTATTGACTCTTGTCAGTGCTCCTCTGTGCCTTCTGTCTCCTTCCAAAATCTTGCCTCTTTCTTTAGTCGCCTTTCAACTATGTTAGGTGATATGAAAGAGCGTGATAGATCTCAAAAAGACCTTCATAATTCCTTTTGGAGTCTGAGCCAGTTGTAGAGCCCTTGAGTAACACTTTGATCTAATATGTCTTTTCATTCTGTTTAACTGCCTTCTCTATTTTATTAGAGACCGTAATCTCCTTTACTTCAAGAGTTTATGATGTTTATCTCATCCAAATAAGCCAAAGACATTAACATTGCATTACCAACCCTTTTTAAAGCAACAAAGGTCTTTTAGGACAGCAGATTTGGAATAAAAAAAAAGAATCTCTCTGAATGCTAATAATTTATTTATTTTTGTAAAGCATTCAACTGTTCAGAGGGGTGCTACGCTGGCAGTCCTGACGCGTGAAGATCTTTGCTACAGATCATTCTCAGCATAGACAGCTCAGTTCTCCCTTCTTAATTAGCTGTCCTGGTATTTCAGTTCTTCAAGAGAGGTCTTTTTTACATCTTCAGTCTTTAGATTTGCTTTACTGAAAACTTCTAAATTCAACTACCAGTTCTGATATGTGAAAGCCGTTCCTGCAAAACCTGTCCTGAGAAGATCAGCTTATTTTGTGTAGGTAAAATATCAAGTGTCAGTCATCTGGTCATATTTTAAAGTCCAGTGTGAGATTTCGGTATGACCTAAAAACTCATGAGTCTGTCTTTCCCAAACTGGTCTTCCATCATTTACTTCTACAAAACATTCTTTGGCACTAAGCCGTAATTTAGCAGTACTGATTTCATCACTGTTACCTCAGTTAAAAATTTAACTTTAATTTAACAAGTTGGTACATCCTTAAATGGTCTTATAACAACCAAGTTCTAGTGCAGTATGGACATTGACATGAGTGTTGTTATCTGGTGATGCCACAATAGTAGTTCTGTTCTGGTTTGTTGTAGGCTTCAGAGTTTTATTTCAAATAACAATGACATATTTCTTTTGTTGATAGTTTGGGGATTTTAAATTCTGTTACACTAACATGAGTAGTTTTGTTGAAAAATGTCTTTACATATAGACATCAGTCTATATTTTACACTTTTCTGGTACAAGGGCTTAAAAAAATGGAAGTAAAATGTCAGGAGTAACTATATATAAACTACTGTTATTACATAATCCACACTTGAGAATCCAGATTGAGTTTTGCTTTTTTCCCCTGATCTTCGAAGTTAAAACTTTTACAAAACAAGAGTAATGCTTTTCTGGGTTATTTTCCCTTATTTAGTATTTTCTTTAATTTAGATTATATTTGTATAGCAAAGAAAAGGAGCAACAAAAAGTGACTGCAGTACTTGTAGCAACAAATAAATAATTTATAATTAATAATTTATTCAATGAATAAAGCAAGAGAAATGCATAAGAGGAAGTTGATCCAGGAAGGAACTTTAGTTGAGCCACTGGGTAATTGCAATTAAAAACTGCAATTAAAAATAAAAATAATTTCAGCTTCTTAACTCAGAAGACCGTATCAAAGTAATTTTGTCAGTAGAATGATTTTTTAAAAGATATGATTAAAATGTATGAAACTGAACCCTCATATTCAGCAAAAATACTGTATAAAAAGTTATAACGTATGAAAATGGCAACATGAAAAATGAGTAGCAAAGAAGAAAAATATATTGCAGAATGCAAAAAAACTATTTGAACTAAAAAGGTCTCAAAAAAGAAAGATTCTAAAACAAAATCATCAGAAAAGAGCATAAATTCTAGCAAGCAAATTTTAGGGTAGTAATTAGTGAACATAAGAGGGACTTGGAGCAAATAGCCAAAGGCATGCAAAGAAATATAGACAGCTTCTAAGATGTCAGGTGTAGGAAGCAAGGAGAGAATTGGTGGGTCTCTTGAGCTGCAGTTAGTGAGGACAAGGATGTGGCAGAGATTTTAAACCGTTTCTTCTCATTTATATTTACCGAGGAGGGACAGAGAAAGACAGACAGGTGTATTTAGGAAGGCACCCATCCCAGGTAACTGTTTCAAATAAATGTACCAGACTGAGTAATGAAGAGGATGTTGTTAAAAAATTGGCTAAAACAAATAGGAAGAAGTCAGTGGATTATGTGTTTATTTAATTTTGAGTTTCTAACAAAAGCTAGTAACCAAAGAATGTCAGAAGTTGCGTTTATCTTGTAAATTAGAGACCAGTGAGAAGCCTCAGCATAGTACATAAATTTGTAACTTAGGGGTTTTAGGAACAAAGTAGCTGACATCTGTCCAGGGAAGTCATACAAGAAAGATTGTCAGTCTGTTAGAATTTTGATAAGAGTGAGAATTAATCAATAAAGTGTATTTGAACTGTCAAAAAAAGCACCTTTTCACAGCTTCTGTGTAGTAGAAGCTCCTAAAGTAATCATGTTGTCACAGGGCAAAGCATTTCCAGACTCTCTGTGCCTAGGAGGAAAAAATCATAAGAATAAATGGAACATTTCAGCAGAAGCCGAGTTCCCCAAGTGTTTATGCAGAGATCTATGGAGTTTAAAAAAATTAATTATCTAGAAAGAGCAATGAGAAAAAGGGAGTGGTGTTTCCAGATGACATGAAGTGGTTTAGGTCCATTGAGTCTCTAATAGACTACATATATCCATGTTGTGCAGTGAGGTGTGGTCCAGAAAACCCTGTCTGCTTCCCAGCTAGCTTACTTTGGAATGGGAAGCTGCAGAGCCATATCAGCACAGTGAAATAGCTGAGCCAACTCACTCACTGGAGCTGTGCTGTTAGTGAATAGCTGCAAACATTAACTGGTAGATCTACGTGGAGCTTTCATGGTGCCGTAGCAGTGTGTCTGCTTGGTGATGCCTGCACTGTGTTCAAATGAGTATATTCAGTACAGAAACTTAGATAAATAAATGTGATTTATATAATCATGAGAAATTTGAACTCATCTTGAGGAAAAAGACCATGGAATAATTCCCTGAGAAGTGTCCCCCAATGTACAAAGCCAGCAGGAAGGAAATAAGATGCCAGGTTGTAAAAAGCAGTTGAATTGAAAATACACTAAAAAAAGTATTACAAAACTCTTACACAGAACATGTCACTATGTTGCTCTAGACAGTCTGTTCATTCCATAGAAACACATGGCATAACAGCAACAATACTGAAGATATTTCTGTGCAAAGTCATATTAAAAGCTTAGTACTAATAGATTTAGACAAGCTGTGATAGGGACATGAGGTAAAGGAAGCTGCATGAAAACAGAGAAGGTGAGCTGGGTGCTTTCATGTGCTGTTCTCAATAACGAGAGAGCAGCAAGGCAGCAAAACAGCTGAAGGACAAGTAGGTCATGATCTGATCAGATCATACACATTTGATACAGTGATACCCTTTTGACACAAATAATACAGCAACCTGTCAAACTTTGTGGCATGACTGAAACTAAAGGCTTAATGGTGAGCATTTGGGTATTTGGTTCTTTGTTGCTGGAGGTTTTGGTCATTGCTTGGTTAAGTGAAAACAGCAGGAGCTATATTACAAATTATAATGTAGAAAAATATATAAACCCTCATACCTGAAAGGGTTTCTTTATGTTCCATTATCAAATTTTCACCATGCTGGTCTAAGCCATTGGATTCACTCATGAATATACAAATTCTTCATTATTGTACTGAGCAGAGTACACTGAAAGTAGATCTCCTTGTACTCAAATAGTATATTTTGAAGAATAAACATATTTATATATATATATAAATATGTTTATATATAAATATAGAAACATATTTATATATGTTTAATTATAATGAGCACAAGTTATAAAATTGTGATGGGATCAGTAAACTGTAGGGTTTTTGAAAACAGTTTTCTCATAGAGTGACTCCAGGATTCTTCTAACTTGCATATTCTTCTTACTGTGTAACTAGCACTTACTACTTCTTATTCATCCATGTGGTTTGAGCACTGCCTTTCTGCAGACAGTAAAGAAATTTTCATAATTACTTGAATGTTCATAAAACATGAATAACACTGGTGAGGAAAATAAAATGTAGCTTTTAAACAATTCCTATATATTTAAAATAGATTCTAACAATTTCTATCTAATTTTTCATTCAGTGGTGGTTATATTATCCATTATTTTTATAATTAATATTACTATAGTGATCAAAACCCCTAATCCAAGACTCAAACTCTGTTGTACCACATTCTGTAGGATTTCTAACAGAGACTATCTTCACAATGAATACCTGATCAGTTTGATTCTGCTCTATTGCTAATACTTTGTACCATGTCCTGAGACAGTAACAGTGGAAACAGCAACATTGCATCCACCTCAGGAGTATTTTGATCTATAATTGCTAAGAAATAGCTTTTCTTTTTTTAAATGTAACTGTGGTTTATTCTAGATGGAGAGTTCTTTTGTAAAACTTTAGAGCTTTCCTAAAGTTACCTACTGACACTAGTGATAGAATAATTTT